TTTTGCATTCACTAATCAAAATGATCTTTATCATAGCATTAGGTTTCTTCTAATTTGTCCAAATCTTTTGCTTATTTTGACACTAGTCTAACATACCGCAGGGTACGGAAAACTTGAATTCAATCTCTTTAAACGCTGTGATTTTCCGTTTTTCTTTGCTCTTTCTCGTCTGAAGATGTATGGTCTTGGTGGCCTCAGACATTCTAGCTTTCACGCATGATAAGTAGCTCACGTACTCCGGAGTATTCTCCCCCTAAAAAAGCACATCCACCGGCTCGCCACAATTTTTTTTGTACATGTCGATGCTTCGGCTGCCGCTGTCCCCTATCTACATGCCCTACAGGTCTCACAACACGGCCATTGTCAATTGACCACACTGGGACATTTTTGTTAACGCTGATAACCTTGGGGGAGTTATTAAAAGAAACTGCCAAGTATATCTGGTTCTAGCGGGAAGGTGGTCATTTGGCGCGATTTAGTTGATGTAGACGTGTCATAGCAGGTTATTGTACACGTTTACCAGGTTGAGTAACTCGTCCGAATCACTTAATGATGAGGTTTTCCTAACTATCAGTCTATATGGAAACAGCGGTGAATGTCGTTTTTCAACGGCTCTATGCTTCATCAACAGGTCACCATCACACGATATACTCAGGAAAAATTGAGGGTACGATTCCGGACGAGTTCGCCCCACCACGTATTATCTATCTCTTAGCAGTCTTTCGTTACGGACAGTTGCAGAGCGGTTCACTCTGAACCCGTCTTCGTTATTCCAAATGTAATTACCGTGTTTGAAAGGCTCATCTACCTCGGACCTTGCCTGCCCCCCCCCCCGCCTTCCCATCTTGGATAGATGGTCTTCCAGGTCATGGAGTGTCTTAAGATAGTTTGTTTCATGATGTGAGGGTGCACATATGGGCCACAGATAAGTAGTTATTTCTTTCTGCTGCACGTTTAGAAAGGGCAAAAAGTGGGTGGGGAAATCAAATCAAAGTAGAATCGGTGATGGAAAACCTTTTTTTCAGAAAATAAAAGCAAAAACAACAGGGTTGTAAAGCCTCTTTAAGGATTCAAACCATCGAACTACTGTTACCTTTTTCCTTTTTAGCATTCCAGCGAGCGAGGAAAATGAACCTCAGCTCTGTGGTTCCTACATGTTTCCCTTCAACATGCATGGAACAAAGCATCGAAAAGCGCTCCATAACCTCGAAGATCTCTTTGTAACAGCCTTGTTCGCTGCGGGCGCTGGGGCGTGACACGGGGACTGGGTTTTTCGCGGCGGGGGCCAGTTACCTACCAGTTGTGGTGGCCTGCCAACTTCTGAATTGTTGGAGAAATGGCTGACGTCACGCCGTCAAGGGGAGACGGGCAAGAGAATCGTAAATTGCCGCTTCGTCGCGCGCGGCAGTGGGCGCGACGTTTTTAATTTGCACTACTCTTTCGACTTGAACATCGAATTTTATGTAGACAAGGGCATGGTAGGCACTTATATCTATTTCTGATCGTACATTGTCTAGCATACACTGTCGTGCGCTGTCTGTTCTCGACCAATATCAGCTAAAATCGTTGTTATTAGCACACGCAACGACGCCTACTGGCGCGGCGGATTACGATCTTCTTGCCACATACACGCCGTCAAAGCCGGCCTCCTAAAATGCTCCAGTATCCGCAGCGAATAAGGGTGTGAGCATGAGCGAATTTCCATGTTAATTACGGTATTTCTAGTTTTGCAAAAGGAGCCCTTCAAGCGATCATCAAGGTAATTAGCACCATTTGATGCTTTAGTTTTTCAGATTATGATAAATCCGATAATAATATGGGTATCGTGAAGCTACGGACTTCATTTTGAGCTATTTATTCGATTTTCTCTTGGACGGGTAAAGGTGCAAAAGTAGTTGAGGAGTGCTACGCAGCAATGCGTCCTGCGAGACTTGATAGTGGCGACTCCGGTCGTCCTCGCTCTGTTAAGGAAGTGCCCAGCGTTCTGGAACCGGAAGATGAGGATTTTTGCCTGCATTGCTAGGTTAGGAAAAGCTTCGGTTGGGGGAAACATTCCCCCTCCCCCACTTCAGAGTTCCTTCCTCTCTACCCTCATTCAAAAAATCTTCTCCTTCGTAATACACGAGATTAATGTCTTGGATGCTCCGCCTGTTCGCCTGTTGCCCCAGACTCTTGATTTCATTTCGCAGTTGATTTGTGGTGATTTTTGTCCGATTTTGCGGTGTCGTATCTGCTTTTTCTGGAATTAGTGTCTAAATTATGATCAATGATTGAGTCGCAGAAGGTGGTGAGCTCCATCGATAACGATTGTAAGAGCCTATGTCTTCGTCGCCGTTATTACGTCGTCGTCACAGCTCAGGCTCATCTCATGGCGGCCGTAATCATGGGCGGAACGACGTTTTTTCATGAAGAAGAGTCACGAAGAGATCGACGGGGTAGCGATGATGACCGTAAGTGCTATTATAACTATGACAGATAGTTTTTATTTTTTAAATAGAACTTTTTTTCATATCGCGGTACGATTGAAGGCGAAATTGATGTAGGTAGACAAGTGGAGGCGCTATACCACTGCGGTCTCGCGGTTCCAATCGTCCCGGTCGACCCCGCGCCAGGCACGCAAAAGCCTGGATACTCTACGCGGGGACGGTAAAATTGGTACCAGATTCGTCTGGGAGGATAAAACACTGACTTGTACATCGGCTGGCCCCCGCAAGTCATTGTATAGGCCACATCGCATTCTAATAAGCCACTACGATTCTGAATGGAAGCCGCCTCCCACAAAGGGATTGATTAACGGCGAAGACTTTATCATTTCACAGTCAAACAGTCTCGAAGGGTGGTTTAGGCCGCGTCTATATCATTTGTCTGGAAAATCGGAGGCGCTTTGTGCCTTGGAAGGGGCACACTCTCTAGTGGGGCTTAGGCAGGTCATGTTCTGACGCGACAAAGACCGACAAGACACTGCTGTCCAGGAAGGAGGGTAACATGTACTGAGGTGGGCCAAGTCACGTTAGGACATGTTACGTCTCGTGGAGTTCTAAAATGACTGGCTCACCTAAGTACATGTTAGCCTTTTTCAAAATGATGTGTTTCACAGGGCTTGAGAAGCGTATCCATTCCCCCCACCAAGCACTTGGCGCTAAATCGAAGGGCTATGAACGCAGCCTGAACTGTCAATAACCGAACGACCCGCAACGCACGGAAGCGAGGAGAGACATGAAACCGTGCTTTTTGAGCCAATATGGGAACGACTGGCAAAATCTACAGCTTATCCTCGCGCGACTGACAGGCCTGTTATGTGTAGTGCTCCCTCCTTACTAACCGATGATAAATAGTCTCTATATGTCGCATGAATTATAGAATGAAATTAAACGAGGATGGTCGGCTTCCGTTCTCGATACGTCTTTTCCTCCATCCATGTTAATAATATGGGTATCGTGAAGCTACGGACTTCATTTTGAGCTATTTATTCGATTTTCTCTTGGACGGGTAAAGGTGCAAAAGTAGTTGAGGAGTGCTACGCAGCAATGCGTCCTGCGAGACTTGATAGTGGCGACTCCGGTCGTCCTCGCTCTGTTAAGGAAGTGCCCAGCGTTCTGGAAATCAGGAGAATGAGGATTTTTGCCTCATTCTAGTTAGGAAAGAGCTTCGGGGTTGGGGGAACATTCCCCCTCCCCCACTTCAGAGTTCCTTCCTCTCTACCCTCATTCAAAAAATCTTCTCCTTCGTAATACACGAGATTAATGTCTTGGATGCTCCGCCTGTTCGCCTGTTGCCCCAGACTCTTGATTTCATTTCGCAGTTGATATTTTGTGGTGATTTTTGTCCGATTTTGCGGTGTCGTATCTGCTTTTTCTGGAATTAGTGTCTAAAATATGATCAAATGTGTTCCAGAAGGTGCGAGCTCTCAATAACGATTGTAAGAGCCTATGTCTTCGTCGCCGTTATTACGTCGTCGTCACAGCTCAGGCTCATCTCATGGCGGCCGTAATCATGGGCGGAACGACGTTTTTCATGAAGAAGAGTCACGAAGAGATCGACGGGGTAGCGATGATGACCGTAAGTGCTATTATAACTATGACAGATAGTTTTTATTTTTTAAATAGAACTTTTTTCATATCGCGGTACGATGAGGCGGAATTGATGTAGTGACAAGTGGGGCGCATACCACTGCGGTCCGGGTTCGAATCCCGGTCGACACCCGCCCAGGCCAACCAAGCCTTCTACCCTCCGGGGACGGTAAATTGGTACCAGATTCGTCTGGGAGGATAAAACACTGACTTGTACATCGGCTGGCCCCGCAAGTCATTGTATAGGCCACATCGCATTCAATAAGCCACTACGATTCTGAATGGAAGCCGCCTCCCACAAAGGGATTGATTAACGGCGAAGACTTTATCATTTCACAGTCAAACAGTCTCGAAGGGTGGTTTAGGCCGCGTCTATATCATTTGTCTGGAAAATCGGAGGCGCTTTGTGCCTTGGAAGGGGCACACTCTCTAGTGGGGCTTAGGCAGGTCATGTTCTGACGCGACAAAGACCGACAAGACACTGCTGTCCAGGAAGGAGGGTAACATGTACTGAGGTGGGCCAAGTCACGTTAGGACATGTTACGTCTCGTGGAGTTCTAAAATGACTGGCTCACCTAAGTACATGTTAGCCTTTTTCAAAATGATGTGTTTCACAGCTTGGAGACCATCCCCCCACCAAGCACTTGGCGCTAAATCGAAGGGCTATGAACGCAGCCTGAACTGTCAATAACCGAACGACCCGCAACGCACGGAAGCGAGGAGAGACATGAAACCGTGCTTTTTGAGCCAATATGGGAACGACTGGCAAAATCTACAGCTTATCCTCGCGCGACTGACAGGCCTGTTATGTGTAGTGCTCCCTCCTTACTAACCGATGATAAATAGTCTCTATATGTCGCATGAATTATAGAATGAAATTAAACGAGGATGGTCGGCTTCCGTTCTCGATACGTCTTTTCCTCCATCCACTGTCGCAAACATGTGATTTCGCTATTTTTCATGTGGACAGCTTTCAGAGTGCACCAAAAAGAGGGCAGAAAATGCCTTTGGAGGCTATTTATGAGCTAGAATTCAATTCTTCAGAATTGGCAAGGGTTTGTCACATTGGCAAAATTTGTCTGGTATCTTGGCTAACGCGTAGTCTCCTAATTGTTGATAGAAAACGGACCTGTGCAACACTGCGCCTCTTGGGGTTACCCTTAAAATCCTGCCTCTTAAGATGTTAAGATTTTTTGTTCAGGGTTTTCGCGTGGTGCCCGTCATATGTTTCGGATTTTGGCTAAACGAGATCCGAGATTAACTACTGAAGAAGGACTACGAAGACTTTTTCATGAGCTCGATGATGGAAGCGTCATGACACAAGAAGGTACTGCACGGAACTAATCCTTTCCTCTGTTGTCATTTCCTTCCTCTGGCTTCACTATTTTCTCCTGAACGTCATATTTGCTGTACTTTCAGAGCTCCTGGAGCGGATGTTTCACACAGCTGAACTGGAAGAACATATCGACAATGCCGGAGGTGTTACGGTGTGCTACCTGGAACTCTCACTTTTCAAATTTATTACCGATTGAACTGCAGCTGAGAGAGAAATAAGCACTTGTTTAGCCGGAAGACGAAGACGTTTTTGTCGAGCACATGCGAAATACAGTAGAAAACGGTGACGTGGATGATCCTTCTGAGGCTAAAACTAGACGACGAGTGGTCAAATCGGTATGTAGCTATAGTGTTGTTCACTGGGGACGGTTGGGCGTGTCAGGCGAGGATGAATTTGGCGCGGTGCCAAACCCGTTCTCCACCAGTTGTTAAAGCGAGCAAATGATATGACTGTATCATATCGTTCGTATTACTCGTTTTCTACCACTTTTTGTCGCATGCGCGCTTCAACAAGAAGGCAGAGAACGGCTTTGACACACTCATACTGCCTGACACGCCCAACCGTCCACAGCGAACTAGTGTGTAATTTCGGTTTTGGATTTCCCTGCCTTAAATACGATTCATTCTTGCTTCTTTCAGAGTCTCAGCAAACTTGACACCTTTGTGGAGTATCTTCTTCAGAAGATAAATCAACAATGGCTTTCGTTGATATATGCAGTTTTTCCGTTCCATCAAGTACAAACTCTTGTGTTTATTTGCTTGGTGCAGTTCGTGAGGTGAGTACAGGGTTGTTCGCTTGCTATGATGTGATGTAGCGTGTCAGGAGGGATTTAGCGCGATGCGAAATCTGTTCTCCACCACTCGCTGAAGCGAGAAGGCGACAAAACTGTAATCACATCGTTAAATCAGTCGTGTTCCGCACTTCCTTGCCGCTTAGCCCCTACAACAATTGTTGTAGAAGAAGCTACCTGCGCTCCAAACCCGCCTCACTGGCACGCTCAGTCACCGCAGTGAAAAAGACTGTAATGTACTTGTTGGAAGCTTAGGGCCCGTTTTCGATGAGCGAAAGAGTTTACCGGGAATCTTCCAGGAATAGACCTAGGTCTGCAATCAGCAAGCGCGTACAGTTCGACGGCTGAAAAGAGCACAGTGAACTCGCCACTCAGGGTTGGACCCATGGGGCCTATAGAGACGTTTTGCCCACGTACATACAGGCTTGTTCACCTCGGATGTTGAGGCGTGCCAGGTAGTTGAGTTTGATGCGGCGCCAACCTGTTCACTACCAACTGTGAAAGCTGGTGAGCACCCACAATTGGTGGGGAACAAGTTAGCGCCGCGCCAAACCCAGCCCGTTGACACGCCTCAGCGTGTGGCGAACAAGACCGTAAGACGATGTGCACGCCTCGTCTGGTTTCTTGTCCATATGCGTGGCTTCTTTTCTTATCATACTCATATAAAACCTCCAAATAGGGAGCCCTAATTAGCGCATTTCCGATGTTTTTCTCCCTTTTATTTTGCTTATTATCTTGCTTATAAGTGAAATGATTTGTATTCGTGCTTGACCCCCCCCCCCTTACCCATAAATTGTTAACGGGAATGTGCCTAAATGTGAGTGTTTTTGCATGAGCCTGGCTTACGAGTCTGTGAAGAATCAAGTTGTCCCTATGTTTAGTTTGCCATCGCTGTTTCTGCTACTGCCAGTGGTCATGGCTTACATTTCATTCGTCTTGATGGTCTACTTTACACTGAAAATGTTCCACAACAAGAGGTAAGCCCTTAAAATAATGAAACTTTCAAGACCGTTATTTCCGAAAGGAATTATTGATTACAGCTTACAGCGAAAACGAAGAACTTGGGAACGTTTGATTCAAGTATTCAATACGAAATCTGAGGAAAACCTTGATGAACCAGAGGCGGTACGCCTTTCTTTTCGCATCTCATGCTCGTGCTCCGTCTTAATTCTATTTTCTTTGATGATTGTTCTAAAATGTCATTATCAAACTAGGCTTATTGGGCGCAGTTCGGCTCGATGGGGGCATTATATGGCACCAAGAGAAGCTTGTACAGGCCTCTTTATGAAGACCTGTGAATTCTGTGGCCGCAGCGGATCACTTGTATTATTTCGCAGCCTCAGAGAGTGTGGCAGTGTTATCACCCCACTCTCACCATTCCAAAAGCAGAGAGCTATCAGCGGAACAAGCGCACCATCAGGTATTTGAAAATGAAAGGCGTTGCCATGGCCGGAGGGTGGGACCGTGGCGTCGTCGCGAGCGGGTCGCGCTTTTCTCACTTATCTTTTAGCTGCGAAAGTGGTACATCCTCTCGCAGACACTACCATGTACGTAGTATGCTTCTGAAAATTTAATTGATCCCGAATGGCCTCTCACTAGAAAAAAGGAGCTAACGGACGTGCAAAGTATCTCACACACTTACCCCCTCCTCCCCTCCCCTCCTTGGCCGAATAAAGCTGCTTGATGTTTGTTATGCTATGGAGATATGGTTTGTGGAGATTGATGTGAGCCTTTCAGGAGTCGTATTTCATCACTGATAACAACTGGGAGCCTTATATAAACTTTGCACTATCAGTTTCATTGTTCATATTATCAGGTATTCCGTTTTCTCTATTCCTAGAATCTCACCATAAATATCTTGTGGTTAACTCTTCAAAGTTTACATTGTGGGAACTGAGAACACCTGGTTGAAAGGATATCTAACCTACCGTCCACTGCTATGAAGTGTTAGCAAGACCAGTTCGATTGTTCAAAGTTTGAGGACAATCTTGATAGCCACTCATATCATTTTTCAATTTAATTAGTATTTTTGTGGGCGCTCTGAAACCTGGGGGCAGGTTTTTTTTCGACAGATTTTGCGATTGGCGGTAGAGCCCGTCGTCGATTTCGGTTACTCGCGCTCCGGCGTGACGTTCACATACAGTCCTTTTCGCTGCAGATGACAGGACATGTCTGTGAGGCTAGGAATGGAGCGCCACCTGCCCGTTCTCCACCCGTGGTGGAACTGGCCAGGCGACAGCAGCTGGGGGAAAACGACTGATACGAACGATATGGTACAGTTTTGTCGCTACGGGATGGCGCTGCGCCAAATCCATCCCCTTAACGCGCTCCATCATCCGCAGCGAACAAGACTACTACCGTATAAGCTCCGAAATTTGTATTTGATTAATTATAACAGCTGTTTAGTTGGTGCGGCTAACAGAAGGTTGCCTTACTGCAGTCTGGCGTGCGGAGTCTCTTCATTCTTCGCTCTGGTGACATTTGTCAGCTTAGCGGATGCCAACGACAGATATGCTCTGTTTGGCATGTTTGCGAACTTGATGTCTTGGTAATATAACTCTACTATTTTTTATAAATTACTTCAAATTTCCTACCTGCTTTTGCCTGTCACTTTCAGCCTCCCAGTCATCTTATCGCGCATGCATTTTGCCGCAGGAAACTGGAGAATTTGGCGGCCGTTTCTGCAGTTCAGATTTGGTGAGTGCCCCCGTACAAGATCCCTTATGCTTGCATACTTATCTCTTCTTAGGTTACGTGGTTGCCAGTTTGGGAATCCCCTCCTTATGCCTGTTGTCAATTCCTGTCGTGTACTTCTTGATGGCATCAAGAAAGAAGACTTGGACTGATGCACTGCACACTGTAGCTCCCCATATCGTGAGTGTTCTGTGAAAGTTTCCCTTATTGTTATTTTAGTTGAAGGCGCAGATCGGCTTGCTAATGGCACCGAGTGGCTCAGCTCTCAGCTAAGCTTATAAAGAATTGATTCCTGTGAGCAAAGTGGCTCATTCGTTCCATTTCACAGCTTCACAGGAAATTACCTGTTTCAAGATGAACTTACAAAAAGAACTGGCGAAAGCGCGAAATGCCCTTCTACGCCTAACAGCGTCCATGAGTCAAACCCTTCCGTCGTTCTCTTGAAACTGGTGGTTTGAAAACGCGAGGGGTTTCCACCGCTTTAGTGATCATTCGTTATATGTGAAATCCCGCTGCTAAATAAAAAGTAGTCTTCTCAGGTATGCATTGTCTGGTCGGATGTTGCGATGACACTTCTTATGATAGGCTGGAAATCATTTGGCGTGAGTACTTCTAATGTCACATGATCATTTACTTCCTCGACCCAGTTTATCACCACCTTTCTTATCAGTTTATAGGGTTCGCTTTTATACAGCAGGACCGTGTCTTGTTTTTTTTGCCATCTATGAAGAAACAGCCAAATTTCCCTATTTTTTCGGGCTCCCTTACTCATTGCTTACTGTTCCTAAAACGTCAGTCGAGATCAGTTTTTCATTGCCTTCAATTCAGGGTGCTAAAGGAATTGACTGGGGCCACGTGAACAGACTACAGTGTACTCAATCTAGTCGTCTGCGTTCTCCTAAGGCAGCTTATAGGAAAGAAGACCACTGTTTCGTCATAGGGGAGTAGGCGAGGAAGCTGCGCTGCTATGTGTTCTCCCCCCCCCCTCCCTCCCTCCCAATCTGCCCTAGACACTTAGCACTCACTTCTGTTCCTGAAGTATATTCTACCCAGTGTATCCAATATCCATCTTCAGAGTAATCTTTCAGTACGTGGATTTCATTCTGACTTCTTGCGCAGTATCGCTATTGTTCTTCCCAACGTTGGCAGCTGCCGTTGTGGTGCTGTCTGTTGTGGCCATGCAGGCTCGAAGTGCTATTGATTTTGTAAGTTTATTTGAGTTTCTTGCATTTGATTTGCTTATTGGGCTGAAGTAAAGAGGGTACGACGTTTGGGGTCCTCTAGTGCAACCCTCACCCCTTGTAACTACTGCTACACTTTCTATATCTTTTAGGTACAGTTTTGTTTTTCTATAGATCTGAAGCAGGGTTTAAGGCCCGAATCCTCGTCACATAAAGTGTGAAAGAGTCTTATTTGTACAATACAGAAAGAAATTTCATGAACAGTGAAGTTCAGGGACCCTATAAACATATTCGATTTGAAACTCCTACAACGCCAGTTTCATACCTTTGGAAGTGGAACTTTCCTCCACCTGTTTTTCTTTGTATAGCAGGGTAGAGATCAGGATGGTCGCATGGTTATCTCAAAGTTCTGCAGTTATCCTGCGGCCTGACCTGAGCTAAGGGCACGTTCATAAGTCGCGGTCGAATCGCTGGCGCCGGTCACCAAACGCGCGAGCGAAGTATGAACGCGCTGCAAGGGCCCTTTGATTGTCGTCAAGAGTGACAGTTCCTTTCCCTCCTCGACTCACCGTCTCGGACGAAATTCTTCCAGCGATTCCGTCTGTGAATGTGGGTTTTCAGTTGACTTCCCAGAAGTATGGGGCATTTACCTTTATATCGGTCCATATCGGCACGTGAGGTACTATTTGCCGATAAAGACCTGCGTTCATGTTCTAACCATATCGAAAACCACCAGGTCTTTCCTATATTTCCTGATGCGTCGAAGGTAGAATGCTGTCTGACTGCAAGTCTGAGACAGGGGCTTGTTTTCTGGCCGCAATACCAGAGATCATTTGAACAAGAGGTCGTGTAACTGAGATGGTGAAAACTTTTAATCGCTCATTTTCTTTCTAAGGCGCATTTTACCTCCTCCCTTGTTCGGGTTGGTGTCCACCGCTAGGCAAACCTTTTCTTGATTCTTCTTCTTACCATATTGAGAAACCAAACCATTCCTTATGCCCTTCTGTCGAAAACAGCCTTATCTCACTCTCTCAGGAATGACACTGCACTTTACCCATTTGTTGACTGTTAGTAAAAAGTCAGCATTTTCAGGTCAGTTGGGCCAAAGTCGGAATTACGCTTGTTGTTTTGGTGTCGCCCTTTATCGTTATGAAGCTCTACAATTATCTCTCAAACCGCTATAAGTTCTCTAGTACGTCCTTTCATGTGTTCCAGTAGGTCATGTCTCGAATAGCCCAATGCTATGGAAATGATCAAAACGTTTAAGTTTCACCTTCAAGTCCTGAAAAAAGAAAATGGATCATGCTGGCCATTTATTTCTCTTCATTGTTGATGGCGATTTCTTTTCTATACGAGGGTCAAATGACGTTCGACCCCGCCGCGGACTACACCAATATGACGTGGTTTGTTTTTTTTTGCTTTTTGTTCTGAAACTTTTGTGCCAAGGACCTGCAGAGAGTCCTTACAGACCTGCAGAGGACTGTAAGCTATTGGTGCGAAGTTTCTCTGTAAACAAATTCAACTAGCTCGGTACCGTTCATGTGTGGATCCAAGGTTCATGAGTTCTATTTGTTTGGGGTGACTTACATGGCAAAATAGAAACGTGTAAAGCGCTGCCCGCACTACTCGTGTGGTCGGGGTCTGGTCTGCTCTGTTACTTCCTTATTGGAGCGCCTTTTATCAAGATGAAGAGGAGCGGTGTATTGATGAGAAACAGCGGTGTGCTGTGCGTGCAGGCCTGGCTTCGTCCATACCATCAGTGTGCACTGGGCCCAAGAGAGAATTCAGACGCTAGCTATCACAAGAGTGAACAGTGCCGATCGTATTGAGTCCTGAAAATAAAAGTAGGAATCTTTGCAGCAGTTTGTGCATGGCAACATATGAGGTTGGTATATAACGACCGCCATTCTGGAATACGGGCATGACGTTCACTCTACAGCGACACTAGTTTGAA